CATTTTTATGACAAAATGTTTGCTGAAAGATAAAAGTTGATGGTAAATGGTGGGCCTATTATAACAGTGCCTACCAGTATATCAGTTCTCCTCGCCACTAAATCAAATAATCAATTGTTGATTCATATATAGGATTGAAGCCCTATAAAAAAGCCATCAAATGCTTAATTTTACAACCAATTTTTATAATCAATTTATTCGAAAATTGAGTCGATTACGATAGGGTCGATTATTGAATTAATGACCAAAAATGGGTTACTTTGCTAATGACTTTTTGCTTTGGAAATTCGATCGAAACCCTATGAAAATAGTGTTAAAATGCTAATTTCAACATACTTTTTCAATTGATATATGTTTCAATGAGATTGGTAGAGAAAAGTCCTATGGACCGATTTGGCTTCTTATGCGCCCCCGTCCTTTGAATTTGAATTTTTTCATTAATTTTATTTTTATTTAAATTATTTTACTTTTTTTTTCTAAGAACATTTGATGAAAATCTTTTATATTAAAACATTTTAATAGCATCTCCATGATTACAAATATTCGAGATGAAAACCTTTCATGTTCAACAGCATTGATTTATATATACATTGACTCAAGGATGTGGCGATTGTGGGATGTGCGGAGGTGCACACCCTTCCACTTTTAGAAAATTTTTGTTTTTCTTCAGCCAAAATCGTAGTTTTCATTTTAAAAAAAAAGATCTTAAAAAGAAGAAAAAAGATTCAACACCCCCTCACTTTTCAAAAAATAGTATATGCGGCTTTTCAAAATTTACAAAACTTCCTGACAATCCCTCACTTTTTTTTTTCTTTGCTCCATCCCTGCATTGACTTTTATTCGAATGGAATATTAATTGTTTTTACATACTGAGTTTTCATTGGTTCTCATTTAGACAATGTCCGTCATGCGAATATATGTTCATATATATAACAATATATTTATGCAATATATAGACGAACATATCAAATAAATAATGAACTGTTTGTCAAATAGAAGTATATGATTATTTAATAATATTATCATTTTTTTATTCTTTTTTTCTATAGACAATATTATCGAATTACTCGATTTACCTAATGAAATGATCTTATCCATAATGAATAAAGTCAAACCTCAAGCGATATTATTTTGTTCTATTATTAATATCGGAAATCATCGTTTGGAACAACTTGCTCTTGATAAATGTTATTCGATTGATCTAAGTTTTGATTATTATCATTCGCCATATGAGTTACTTCTCAAACGATTTTATTCAGATGTTTTACCTCGTCTTTACAATAATATTCAATCATTGACAATCACTCTTAAAAATTTGTTATATATTGATGCTGCTATCAAAGCAATTGATGATGAAATTCTTCCTAATTTAAGACATTTGAAAATATTAGCAGGTCGTCGTCGTCATTATACGGGAACGCCTTTCACAATAAGTAAATTATAATTTATTTAGATTTTCAAACACAGAATAACGAGATAATGAGATTTTCTCATCGATTCTAATAATAAAACGAATCTGTGGTGGAATAGAGAAATAGTTTTCTACTTGATCTTGATTTTATTCGAATTAAAGACTTAGCTTGATTTGAAACTTCTGTAAAACGTAACAAATTTCACACAAAGAGCTTTATTTTAAAATAGAAAGTTTATAATAAGGATATCAAAGTAATATTCAACTAGAAGCGGTACATAACTATTACATCACTATATATTCTGAAAACTACCAGAGTTATCATTCTGGTTTTTTTAAATTCTATTTCATATATATATAATGTTCAATATGTATGTGTGTCTGTTATCGTGTCAAATCTCAAAGGTTAAAGGTCAAATTGAGCATTGTTAGATTTCTAGAACTGTGTAGACTCTACTAAAAAGGTAGGTAATATAAGGAGTATAAGGAGCATTTATATATATATAATGTTGAGTGTATGCCAATGTGTCTCTTTCTCTTCCTCGAACAAAAAAAGGTTTCTTTTTCCAATTCATTTTTTTTTT